AGAGCACAAGCTTTTACATAAAGCATAACGCATAAGCATAAGGAAATTGATTGGTCTATATATAAGCATAAGCAAATGCATAAGGAAATGGACCAATCAATTTCCTTATGCTTATGCGTTATGCTTTATGCAAAAGTCTGTGCTCCGGCCATAAGACTAAGATTAAGATTAAGACCGAAGCATAAACCAGCCATCAAACAAAGGAACGAAATGTATTAGTTGTTCCTAATTCTTAATTTTTAATTTATGATATGATAATACATCCAACACATTTTCTTGTTTTGAAATGAAATAATTCCAATTTTATATTTCTGATATTTAATATTTGTTCCTATTTCTAATATTTTCTCTATTGTGCGCAGGGCGGCCTTATGACGAATTCTCACTGAGCGCGTCAAGCGCGCGTCATCCGTCGCGTCACGAATTAACGAATCAAAACATCCCATTTTATTGCATCATTTGTCGCGCGAATAAAATGGAATGTTTTGATTGGTTAATTGATGACGCCGACGCGTGACGCGCTTAGTGGGAATTCGCCATTAGCGATTTTGAAAAGGTGACCACATAAAAAAGTTTTTAAGTAAAAATCCCTAGTGGTTTAAAAAAAGACATAAAAATGTTCCTAAAGGCCACTTTTTTCAACGTCGGTTAACTTTAACCGACGTTGGAAAAAGTGACTTTTAAGTAAAAACTTCTAGCAAACTGGAATTTAATTTTTTGTCTGGCTGGACAGCTTTGAAAATGTGCAACAACATAAGAAGAATCTCAAATAAAAGTCTCTGCAATTCGAGCTTAGTCTTTTTTCTAGGTAGGATGGCGCGCCGTTTCGTGAACTTCCGGTCGCCTATTTCCGTTTCTTTAGCGAAATGGCCGAACTAAGGAGTGTTTAGAGGAATCGAGGAGTGCCAAGTGTATTTTATATCTCTAATCGCAAAAGGAACGTGACGGAAGAGTGATATTGCGTCCCGAAAGGGAAATTTATATCTATATACATAAAAAAAAGAAAGAAGAGAAAAGCAGCGTTTCGTGGGTGTTGTTCATTGTCAGCCGCTTATTCTTCACCGTCGTGTCGACGGCTTTTTTTTCTACTGTATTCGAACGCACATTCGTTGAAGAGAAAAACACGATGACGGATAATCGTAAGTATTGTATATAATAATATTATGTTTGCAAAATCACGTCGCTTTCGCTAATACACGGCGAATTCGAGATACATTTCACACGCTGCAGGCATCTCAAAATAGAAATGGTTAGCGTCGCAATCGAAATCGCCGTCGGCTTCGTCGATGTCGATTACATGCGAAAATGGCGATTAGCAGAGGCGCCGAAGCATCGAATAATGCCAAAAGCATTCACGAACATCGTAATATAATCTATCAAAGAAAAAAAACACAAAATTATTGTATTTCTTTTAATACTAAATACATACCAAATGAATAAAACATCGATTCGATATACATTGAATTCTTTTATACAATATGCAAAGAATTTTTATGGAGAATAAATACATAGATAAAATAATAAATTTATGCAGATTGTTAAAATCTTTGTATTAAACTTTACAGAATATTCCAATTATCAGCAACAAGGCTATAATCAGTACAGCCAGCCACCACCTTCAGCTGGTCAGGATACATCATATCCACCTCCTTCGACCGGTGGAGGTGGCTATAATCAGTACAGTCAGCCACCTCCGAGTACTGGTAGCAATTATGGCAACTACAACAGCTATAGTTCTAATACTAATCAAGACTACAATCAGTCTCAAAGTCAAAGTAGCTATGGACAGAGTAGCTATGGCGGTGGTAACGCTGGCAGTGGAGATAGCGGTAATAATTATGGTGGAAATTATGGACATGGAAGTAGCGGAGGTGGTGGAGGATATAATCGCAATTCCAGTGGTGGTTACAGTGGAGGTAAACACCTATATTCCTTATGATTAAAATTTGTCAAACTTTATTTTGTTTCTTATTTTCTCATTAAGCATATTTTTCATTATATTCCATGTAATCAGCCAACTATTTTAAAAATTATTGTTTATTAATCAGAATTATAAAAATAATGATTTGATTAAATGGCGATATCTTTTATTGTTCTTTTAGAGACTATGATTTACATTTATTATTTGCATGTTTTAGGCCAAGGAGGTGGGGGCGGAGGTGGTAGATATGGTGATCGCGGCGGTTATGGAGATCGCTCTGGCGGTGGTTACAAGTAAGTTTATTTCCTAAATTTTTAATATACATAATAAAGAGCGACGGCTGGAGAGTAACACAGATTTCGGCGTATTAAATTAAATAAAGTCAACAGCCACCACATTCTCAGTATTCAATCTGACAGTAAACGACATTGTTGAAGCAAATCAAAGGTATGAAAGTTCTTAACACCAGTAATGGAAAATTTTGTTGTATTATTACGAAAGGTTTTGTGCCCGACTGGGCGTTAATATGTTTAAAGTATGCCTACAGGTTTAACAGACAGATATAACTGAGGTAAAAAAGGTAAAGAAACAGGTTGTATGTGACTAATGACGTAAAAAGGCTGTAATATCGACAGTTTATTCACTGGTTCTCTGATACATTGTAGCAACACATACATGCACATTATATATATATATATATATATATATATATATATTATATAATATAGTTCGTGTAGTGTGTTGTGTTAGTGTATATATATATATATATATATATATATATAAAATACACAACGTTTACATATATGCAAAGGTCACAAGTCGATCAAGACCGTGAAGCGATTCATGTCGCCACTGGGGCTACTGTTATGTGATATATCTCTATTAGGCGTATTTTTATTAGGCATCTATAAGGTATTTAAAGTCCATTGTAAGAGATTACATTATTCAACTGCTAGTATTGTGTAGGCACAATTTTTCTTTGAAAAATTAACTATAAAAATAAGTGGAACAAACGGTGGAAATGTGATATATTCGCATATCATTCACCGCCTTCCAAATACAATTTTATTATGCGTACTGATATTTTGTAATTAGTATTTATATTATTATACAGGCATGTTTTAGAAGACAGTTCTGTTAAATTTTTTTCTTCTGTTATTGGTAAAGAATCCTCCATGATATACAAAACACATACGAAGAGCAAAGTACATTGTGTACGTGGTGTCGACTGTGCTTTGCATTTAGATATTTTTTATATCCCAACTGCAACAGAATCGACACTAGAAATTACAGTACATACTTGACAATATCTTTTTTCTGGCAAATGTTAGTCACAACACAAAAGTAATCTCTTACTTCTTTTTATAACGCCGTTTTTTATAACGTCGAAATAAAATTCAGGAGTGCTTTTACTGGGATTTGCCATTCCTTCGAGACTTGTGTTATGTCGAATACTATCAAACAGATAACACATTATCGATTTAGAATTTTGAATTAAATTTCCATATGTAAATATAATCTTCTGCATGCTGTGACGAGATGCGACGAACGCGACTTGACAGTAGGACGACCGGTGATCTAATCCAAATCATGATGTGGTGTGACTGTACATACATTTAGATAAATAGGTACATCAGTCAAGAAGAAAGGTGGCGAGCGGCATACGTACAATTCGCCATGCATCGATCGATCGATCACAGTCCTTACGCCAACTCATTGGTATATCTGCTTCTATGTTTTAGCAGTGGAGGTGGCCGCGGTGGTTATAACAAAGGTAAATGCACCAGACTGTTTGTACTAGTCTGGTGCTAAATATTCTAGCTTTCACTCTACTATTTTACGATCTTAAATACTCGGTTACTCGGTATTATATGAAAGGGCTGCTATGCAACATTGTTAGGGAGGTGCCATATCTCTCAATGGCAATTCACCATGATACGATATATTTTTACGCTCGTTGAAACAAGAACAAGAAGAATGACAAGAAGCTTCTAATTCTCTACTAGTAGTATCACTAGAAAGATTATGCGTGTGTGTTTATATATATGTATATGTACACACACATATATACATATATTACAATCGCCAATTGCTTTTTTTCTTGCAAAACAACGCTTGCGTCATTTTCCTGTATTGTCATCAAAAAGAAAAAACACAATTTTACGAACAGGGCATTCCATGCGCCTTCCAAAACAATATTTTCCAAGATTTACCCAACCAAGTTCCGCACTGTGCGTCCTCGATGATGTCGTTCAATGCGAAAGCAGTTTTGGAAAGTCCCTTAAAAGGTTGAAAGGTTCGTCTTGAAGGGAACAAAAAAATATTGCAAATGAACGTCACGTTCATTTTGCAAAGTATAGCAAAATAGAACAATAGTCGTATAATCATACAGATTTTTTATATAGTCACGTATATTGTCACATTTTCAAATGTATAAGTAAGTGCAAAAAAGGGATGAATAAAAGGCAGCTGGTGAGCTACTTGCCGATCTGTGCTTAAATCGCAAGGGTAAGAAATAATGTTGCAGCCCTTTTGTATTCAGCTGCAACCTTGTGTTCTGTATGTATCGTTAAGTGTTAATGAAAATATTAGACCGCTACTAATACATTGTGTTTATATGTAAGACGATACGAAAGAAAATCAGGATACATATTACATATGTAACGTCATTCAAATTATGTAGAAAAATGGGGACGTACTGGAAGATATTGATTATCATAAGCGGAATATTACAAGTCAAAATACAAACAAATTTCACATTTTAATGAAAAGCAAGACATGCATAATGAGTAAATAGAATTATATATAGTGGGGTGATAACGTCATAAGAGTGTGTATAGATACGTAGACATATTTTAGTTGTTAAATATATTTTATAAGCCTCCGTAATATGCCATAAAAGAGAAAAGCGTCTCGTACTCTTGGTATTTACTTGGCGTTGGTGTATGATTCACTCGTAAAATCAAATTAGACCATAAAACGTAATTTTAAAGCTGATCATTTATTAAAGTTTCTGCTTGTATCTGGAAAAAAAGAATAACAGAAAAATCATGCAATCTAACACATACGGTTACAATCAGCAAAACATATAATCGTAAAGATGATCAAAAAGTGTGGTAACTAACATCTCGAAAACACAGCTATTATTCCTTACTGAGAACTGTGTCGTTGTGTTATTGAAAAATATACGACTTGGTAATTTGATTAGGAGTTGTGTGATAATTCTGGAAAAAAAATATACGGACAGTGTTTCCGAATCTGTGTTGTTTTATAAATCAGTCATATAAAAGATGATTATGCAATCGAAACACTTTCCTTATACTTTTAGATTAGGGATAAAGTAGTTCCAGGGTCGGTAGATATGCGAATATTTTTACTCTCTTGGATTTTCTGTGCGACGAGTTATGACTCTCGGTCCATTGCAGGGGGCTACGGTGACCGTAACAGCGGTGGCGGTGACGGAATGGTTACACAAGAAGATACTATTTTTGTATCCGGTATGGACCCATCGATCTCCGAAGAAGAGATTTGTCAGCATTTCGGGGCGATTGGCGTTATTAAGGTATGTTTTTATATTGCACATATAATTGTGATTTGAGTTTTGTCCAATTTCACATCCATTCTTATCTGAAATTAAATATCAAGCAAAATCATTGAGAGTCAAGTGTACAATATTGAAACAAATAAATAAATAGAGGTAACATTTAAATTACGTTTAAATCTCAAAGTTTCACGATTTTAGCATGACAAACGCACGGGCAAACCAAAAGTTTGGATGTACAAAGACAAGAATACAGGAAAGTCAAAGGGAGAAGCTACAGTCACTTATGACGATCAAAATGCTGCGCGTTCGGCAATTAGCTGGTTTGATGGCAAGGAGTTCAAGGGTTGCACAATAAAGGTTCAAATGGCGCAGCACAAAAGCAATTGGCAGGGCAACCGAATGGGCGGCGGACGCGGCGGTGGTGGCCGTGGTCGCGGTGGTGGTGGTGGCGGCGGCGGCAGTTTTCGGCGGTCGAGGCGGAGGCGGTGATCGTGACGATCATCATCGCGGAGGCGACGATCGTCGTGATAGTGGAGGCCGC